TTGAATCACCTCAAAATTCCTTGTAGATCAAAAGATATGAGCTTCCGAAGTAGGACCAGCGGAAGGGCCCTTCACCGCGGCCGCGCCCCACTTTGTGCGGTCCGCGCGACGCCTACCGCGCCCGCACTCGCTTTTGTGCGGTCCGCACAGCACTCAACGCAGGCGCACTAATTTTTGTGCGGACCGCGTGAGTGTGTTCTGGGACCTGCAACCCCTGTAGACATGCTACAACTATGATTTTTGCACTAAAACATCCCGGAACCTACCCGGAACTCCCAGAACTTCAAACCAATTATACCAACACATCCCATGACATCGTTCAAACTTGATCAACACTTCGGAACGCTTATAACAACATCAAATCACCAATTTCACATAGGATTCAAGCCTAAGAACTCCAAGAACTCTTAAATTATGTTTTTGATAAAAAACTGTATCAAATCTCGTCCGAATGACCTGAAATTTTGCACACACATCCCAAATAACATGACGGAGCTACTGAAACTTCCGGAATTCCATTCCGACCCTCGGATCAAAATCTCACTATCGGACCGGAAACTTCAAAAATTCAAACTTCGGCATTTCAAGCGTAAATTAGCTACGGACCTCCAAAACACATTCCGAACACGCTCCCAGCCCCAAATTCACCTAACGGAGCTAACAGAACCGTCGAATTTCCATTCCGAGGCTGTCTCCCCACTGTTCCGACTTCGGTCAACTTTCTAACACTTAAGCTCTCATTTAGGGACTAAGTGTCCCAAAACTCCTCAAAACTCAAAACCGAGCATCCCGGCAAATCACATTAGCAGAAATAAACTTGGGGAAAGCAGTTAATAGGGGATCAGGGCATTAATTCTTAAGACGACTGGCCAGGTCGTCACATCCTCCTACACTTAAACATTCATTCGTCCTCGAACGAGCATAGAGACATACCTGAAGTAGTGAAAAGATGAGGGTAATGGCTGCGCATATCCTACTCGGTCTCCCAGGTCGCCTCCTCGACCGGCTGGCCCCGTCACTGAACCTTTACCGAAGAAATGTTCTTTGACCTCAACTTTCTAACTTGCCTGTCCAATATT